GATCAATGAACTATTAAATATATAGGTAGTTGAGAATTTTCAAGAACCAAGATTTAGTCGGAGGTATTATAAAAGGAAAAATAATTTAAATAGAAAAATAAAATTAACCAAATAGAGACGATTGTCGCAGATCGACGATAGAATACAAATGGTAACATCCAGACCAACCCATTCGCAAAAAACATTTCAGTACAGGATACACATGTATTTAATAAGAAAGTTATTTATTTATATACGAATATGAAATATTGAAGATTTATTCAATGTCACCTGAAAAACATCAAAGTAATAATTTTTAGCAGTAATAATTGGAACAGGGGCGTACGCATATTTCATATTAAGGGAGGGCAAGACTGAATAAAGGGAAATCTTAGGTATATACCTAAATGATTTCAAACTCAATATAATTATTTTTAATATTTATAATAATTAAAATTTATAAATATTTTTATATGAGACACAATATATACATAGAACAACAATTATTAAATATTATTTTTCTAGGATTTTCTGGAAATATTTTGTATTATATTGTGTTATATTTTTTATCAAGTATTTTAGGGGGGAACAACGCCTCCCCTCCCCCTGCTCTCCTCTGCGTGCCCCCATTAATAGGATGAAGATATTTCTTACTGAATGTTTAAGAAAAAGGTAACAGTTATGAAAATCAGGTCCAAAAACTGCACAATTTATATTGCATAATTCATTTTTAATTATTATTTTTGTTTTTTTTTAGTAATTCTTCTTATTCATATTGATTATTCATATATAAATCTAATTTTGTAAAAATATACTAATAAAATTAATTATTATTATAAAAAAAATTAATCGAAAATTCATTTATTGTAAATCTGAATAACATCCAACGAATTGTTTCTAATACATCCTATTCATATTTTTGTTGCAATAATATAAAAAAATGCATTTCTTTTCATGTCCAGTAAATAAAAAAAACAATAACCAACTCGTAAAAAATATTTTAATTTAGATTCGATTTTTTGATTGAGAATTATGAGTGATAACTATTTTTTACATTAACTAACTTTTATTCATGTAAGTTCTTAAAAAAAAATTACGTTAAATAAGAAATAGACAGTAATTGGAATTAGTTTAGAGTTATGAATTATGTTAAATGAATCACTTGGTTCTAATATGTCGTTCGTTTGAGTAGCTAATCATTTTTAAAATAGACTTATTGGCGAAATCAAAAGTTCTGTAAAACATATACTTCAAAAGTTACAAAAGAAAAAGTTCAACTACGGAAATCGTAGAAAGAATTTAAAATCATCGTGTCATATCAAAATAAATTTTTTTAAAAATAATAGTTTAAATTTCAGTTATTATTCTTTCCAATTTTTATAGAAAATATCATAATTAAAATAGAAGAATCATTAACGTCAGGGTTAGTCACTGCAATTTTTTATATTGGTGACTTAAACACCTATCTGTATGAAAAACATACAATATAATTTTTATATATGATAAAAGTAAATAAAAGAGATAATAGTTTATTATGTGTATTACACCGAATAGTGAAGGTTTTTAGTTATATCAATTGATAATTCCATGAGTTACGATACGAAAGTTATTTTCTAAGAATCTGGCTGGTTTATCAATGGGAGTGCGTCAACGCGTTGCCCACGAATTCCTTCTTGGCGTCAGAAGACCCCGGTCTGACTTCCAGGTAATCGGTGGATGGTAGCAAGTAAGTGACTCATTACGAAGCAGTGAAGATGGTGAGTCATGGAAACATTCTGGAAGGACCCAACACAGGTAGCGAGAGGATAATGAGGTCATCAGGATCTCTATGAATGGTTACGTCCAGGCTCGCGGGCCTCAATCTCTTGCAATAATGACCGCTTTTCGGCACAAGGACGACCTTCAGCTTCGCAGGCGACTGCTCCGAAAAACTCTTCTTATATCCTGATATTTATTTTTGAAAAGAACAACCGATTGCAATATTAAAGACTTGCTGAAAATTTTATAGTACAGATTATATTAATAAAGCAGAAGATTCTTAGCGACAAATATAATAGTTTACACTTAGGTCGGAATAAAAGCCCTCAGTTGATCGACTACTTTAAGATCGAGATATTTAAAATAAGAATTAAATTCCATTACGGAATATAATGATTCTAATTTCTCAAAATTAGTTCTTTGAATACTTCATTCTATAGTCGAAATTAAAAAACGAATTGAATAAAAATAAAATTTAGAACATTATGCCGTCGGCACCATGTTAAAGTATACCTTTTCAGCGTTAAACTTTCTTAAACATGGTGCCAACGATGTATTGGAAAAATATCCACTATATCTATAATTTGGTTGATATATGCAGACGGTTAAAGATCTATTTCTTTGAAACGAAAGTAAGTACAGAAACAGACTTAAATATACAGAATGCCCAGGATTCGTCAGAGAAAGTTTCTTACAAAAAGAAATGTTTCCGAGGGTTAAGAAAAATATATATATTTCTTTAACGTCCATATACTTCAAATATAATATGGAAAATTGATAATTGAATAATCAGAAAAATGATCTGAAATAATCTATTCATGAAAAAAATCGGGTCGTAGGAACGTGTTGTTATGGATACTTGTTAAAAAAATTATAAGAATAAAATCAAAAGAAAATACAGAAGTATATCATGGATTAGAAGAAAATTGATTGACAATAAATGGAGAAACTGATAAAACAGTAGTTATAATCTTACAAAAACTAAGAATATAAATAAAAATTATAATTAAATACTGCATTTAAAAAGTATTCATAATTGTTTATAATTCCCAAAATGTCACATATGTGAAGTTGGAATGTGATAAGAAGTAAAACTTGAAAATAAATTACAATCAAACAAAAGCAGAATTTAAATTTTTAAAAATTAATTTTTCTTTTTAATTTTTTTGAATAGCCAATTTTTTTTTTTTGGATGTAAAGCTTTTTTGATGTACTCTCCCAGATGAGCATCAATATTCTAGGAACATTCTATGACATAAAGAATGCGTCATATAACATAAAACGAGAAAATATTTCAATAGTCGACACAAAACTTTCAACGAATATATTCTTTTTTTTTCGATGAATCTGGTTAGTTAATTCATAGTTCATTTAAATTTAATTACTTTTCGTTTATTTTACATCAAATATATAATTTTTAATTATTAGAAAATTCAATTAATAACCTACTACCGTGGTTATGACGATAATGATGTAAAATAAAATATTTAGCTAATGTTTTATTACTACTCAATATTTGAAAACGAATTGTAATCAACACGAATCATTACAGATACTGTAAAGTTGATTTTTTTTTTTTTTTCAGAACAACTGAAACTAAATTCATGGGGAAAATGTGTTTTGACAAAAACGGCTTCTAAAATATAGTACACACGTACATAAATGTTCTATTTTTTATCTTTATGTTTTGAATGAATTTCCATCTGTAAAAAAATTTTGATTAGATTTATTATAGGTTGAGTTAAACACAATCCGAAGTCATTTTAGTCTATTTGCAAATGATCTATTAAGAAACATTAAAAATATGCTGTTGAATTATTGGAGTACTAAACGATTTTAATAATATTAAAAAGATCATTTAAAAAAATCTTTTAAATATTTCATTTTAACAATTCACAGCTGATACTGAAGAGAAAGAGATATTAGGTTTCAAATGGATTGCTATTATTATCTACAAGTGAAGTCGGCTTGTGACTATCACTAAAATTTGCAACAGTACGATTGTAGAATGAACATAAATATGAATGAACATAAAAACATACATCGACAAATTATAATTTACAGGTACTAATAATTATGTAATGATGGTTAGTATCAGCAGAAAATAGGACATACTTCTGCAGACAATCAAAATCCCGGAATGGTTGGCAGTACTGGTGGAGCTAAAATCTGTCTTTTTATAACTAAATATAGTTTAAAATTATAATGTCTGCATATTATATACGGTAAAGAGGACGGATCCTTCTTAAAGCATGAAGGAAGAAAATGTAGCTAAAAAACCATCTTAGACCTTGGAAGAACATATCCGAGGCCTCAGGACTGCACTTGCAGTTGGACGGTACGAACTGTCAAAAAAGAGGTGCGACACGGTGAATCCGTACTTAAAAAAAAATGATCAAAAATAATTTATATTATATATGCATTGAATATATATATATATATATATATATATATATATATATATATATATATATTTCATGTGAATCCGAAAGAGAAACAGAAATGGATCGATAAACTTTCCACTGAAACGGTAATTTAGAAAAAAAAAAACCTAGCACATCAATGAGAATACTGATCCTTTTAAATATAACTTTAGTGCCCTTTAAGTTAAATAAAATCCAATGGTAAAATAATTTTATTTTGAAAGCAACCTTGAAGAAAATGTTTAAAATAAGTTAGTAGGAGCAAAGGGGGCTTAGTCAACTGTTTAGTAAAATAATACATGCATTTAATCTTGTTTTGGCAACCTATTGTTTACATACACGCTAAAGCACACTCGCCTACTTTGTGAGGACAGGTCTTGTAACTGCTAAATTAATTACATAAAAATAAATATAAAAGGATGGGAAAAATACAAGCAAGGAAGGCAATCTAACCTGGGCTAAACAATTGCGATAATTATGTCCAAGGATACTTTCCTCATTGTCCTTTCACCCTCAGCTTAAGGTATTGTTCAAGCACAATAAGGAACCAACAATCCATTCTAATTATAATATGCGTCCATTATGGAGCAGAGTAATTACGATGACAGTATCAAAGTCGCCTATGGAAATTGCCATTTTTCTTTCTTATTTGCTTTTATACAATGGTTGAAAAGGGTAAATAATAGCACACAACTTAATATTTTCGATGCACTACAAGTGTACCAACTTAACATAGTTAAGAACATTTGAACATTCAGGAAAACAAATTATAAGTCATAATCAAGTAAGCAAAGTGATAACTTCGTATGGGTATTAGTTAAGAATTGAATAATTGCTTACCTTTTGTATAAGAAGTGGTTGTCCAAAATCTTTGCCGCCTTGAAGACGGATGCCCCAAGGTGAGTTATCCGTCCGACTCAACCTGACACTAATTACTTGAGCCATAACTGATAATGGATAATTTCGATTTTACGTTCGTTTGCTAACTAATATTTCGGTCGATTATACGAAGGGCTGTGTGTAGTTGATGGGAGAAGAGAAGAACGATGCAGTGTCAAGATATCCCTGCTAAGGACGTTCCGATTTTAGACACGCTCCGGAGCCCCCTCTGTCTATTTTTGAATTTAGATCTGGTCCCGGCCGCGAAGGCGGGGTGGGGATGCGCAGTCATCTCATTTCAGCTCTTCTGCGCATATCCCCTTACATTGGCAGTTCACTGATAACAGCTTTGAAATTAGTGATAACAGTGTATGACAACCTGTTTCAAAATTGAATGTTTTGTCTTGTTTTTTTTAATTAACTATTAGCATCTTTTTGCCAATTGCTGCAATGGATCCTACTCAACAGAATCTGGATGCTGTGTCTGAAGATGGTGTCACTGACTCACCTAAAAGAGGTATTTGATGATTATTGGAAGTTGTTTACAGTATTTAGGAAGCTTTAAGTTTTTAGTCATGCTTGAAAAAAATGAGATACATTGACAATAATTGTTTCTGAATCATTTAATTGGACTGTCAGAATTTAGAAGCAACATATTAATTTGTTTTGTTTTTTTGTCTTTATGCTCATATAACAATGAAGAACCTCACTCTAGTAAAACCAACTTTTTAAACCTTGAATTCTTATATTATTTCGTTAGTTCTTAGTATATTCAGAGTAACAATAATTTATCTGATTAAAAATATCCTGATGTTTACATTATGAACAAGTGTGATTCTTCTTTTTTACTTACTATACTGAGTATTCACTTAATTCTTAGATATGTAAACTCGCTAATCATCTTTAAAAAGAATTGTTGGCATATAAAGCTATTTATATTAAATTGATAGAAAGAAAAAGATATGCATAGACTTGACTGAGTATTATGTATTTGACTAGTTGGCCCTTTCGATTAATTTGTTAGTATTTATAAATGAAAGATAATTTGTTGTTTAGCATAAGAATATGGAAATAAATTAAATAGATCAAAGTGTCAAAAGGTAAGTGACATGTTACTTAGTAAACTTCTTAGTCGAGTACATTAGAAACATTCATTTTCAGCATTAAATTACTGAAGGTAATCTTCTAAATAATGAATCGATCATTGGTTCTGATTAAGGGAGAATTGCCTTACTTACAAAGAATATCTCTGTAGGAATAATATACAATGATTAATATATCGGTTTATTGCAAAAAGTATTTAAGCTTCATTGCATATCTTTAAATAACTAAGAACTTTGAAGAATTTTCCTTTTATGAAATCAGGAACAATTATTGTGAGTTTGTTTAACTATATTTGTTATATAAAAGGGTTGGTGTGATTTTCATGTACTAACAGTGTTTTTTTAAAGATTAATAAAGTCAAAATTAATAAAATCATATTTGAAAGTTAAGTGACCCCACTTGGGGACTTTTTTCGATTATGATTTTTTTTTCTCGATAAAACCGACAATTAAAATTGAAATAATATATTGACTGATATACATTTTTTTTAAAAATATGTAGTTTTAAAGTTAGAGAAATATTAAATTTAAATTCATTCATGAAATCAATATAATTCCAGGTCCAACGTTATCAACCAGCACTAGTAGCTTTGAACCGCTTGATCCTCATGATCCAAACCTCAGCAAGTTGGCAACAACCATGTTTCAAAAGACTGCAGATTATTTGTTAGGAGAGCTAACTCTTACACAGGTGATTTTTTACATTGGCATATCTAGTATTGATATATCTTTAACACCATATCTGTAACTGTAATTCTTAAACATTAATCAAACTAACGCTGTATGTAATAATTCTAACAATGATTAGATTAGTCTAGTAAATAATCTTTTTATGTTATTATAATTTGAATCAATTATTACTGGTTCTCATCAAATATATTATTTCTCCTGTTGAACTATTCACTTGATTATATTTTTAAAATAATTATAACTCACGCAGGGCTATAAAATATTAAAGCTCACATAAACAATAGACTGTGGATGAATTCAAGCAGTGCTATGTTAAAGTTTTTTTTCCTTCTTCGCGCTAAACTTAATGCCTTGTGGGTTTCCCCTCTTTCTGCTATCTTTTTGTTGACAAACTACAGTAGCTATCACAATTTTTATCATCTTTTAAGATATTATCACTTTTGTTAAAGCATGTAAATACATGATATAAAAAATGTTAACACTTTTTAGATTTTTTTAAATAGTTCTCAAAACAGTATGAATTTCTCTCTTTTCTTTGAGAAATATTATAGTTTCATAAGTAGAAAATCATTTATCTGATAAATAATCATGGAGACAGATCCAACGTAGTTGGATCATCATTTACTTAATAAAGTAAAATTTTGTTATTGATTAAGCTAAACTGTTAATGACATTTTTGTTAATTTCGACACCAATCTTATATGTCAGAAATAGTTACCCTGATTGCAGAATGTTATGATTTCCTAGAGGTAAAATTCATCAAAGTTGGTGATTTATGTTTGTAAAATGTTACTGAGTGACTTTTTGCATTAAAATAATTATATATCCTATTAACTATTTTTGATTAAATTATTTCTTTTCTAATTGTTCTAATCTTTTTATTGTAATTTGATGTTTGGGCCATTATATTGGACATTAGTGACAAAATTTACTATTAAGTTTTTTCTTTGCTATCTGGCTGCATATTAAAAGTAAATTTAAGATGATGTATTTTGATTTGAGTAAATTCCCTTTTTTGGTTTGTTTCCCAAATCTAGGCTTTTGTATATGTATGTAATTACTTACATCTAATGTGTTAAATCCATCTAAATATGTTCAGGTCAGCACCAGGTAATAAAGATCAAAATGAAAACTTATTTTTTCTTAATTTACTGAAATATTATACCTTGTTTATTTTTATAGGCTGATTATAAACTGTTAGAAGCCATGAATATAGCAACTGTATCAAAATGTAATGATATGACACTAATGACCCAGCAAATTAAGAAAAATATGGTGGATCTGCAGGAAAAATGTAAGTTTTTAAAAATAAAAATTAATGAATTACTGCTTTGAAGTACTTTTAATTTGATATCACTGGGGTTATTATAAGTTTTCTTATTAAATCATTGTATTGACTAACAATCCTAGGTAACAGTTGGTGCTGTACACTTACTTCTGGATAACAAGAGAGCTGAACAACTATTATTCTATACACTGGTTATCTTATGTCTTGTTAATATTGTTAATGGCTATTGAAATTATTACAGCTTTAGATAAAACAGCTTACAGCTGTCGACTTCCTGGTTCCGCATTTGTTCAAGTGATAGATGTTTGTTCTTTATAGCTTCTTTGTTACACATTCTTTACAATAATTCATAATAATGCAATTGCCATAAGAGCTTGAGAGAATGATGGTCTACGCTACTTTTAAGCTTAAAATAAAGTTGTCTTGACTGGGTGGATCATTTAGCAGAAAGATATCAATCAACAAAATATGCAAAAATCGGTTAGAGATGGGTCGAGAGCTTACTATTTGTTGTAGAAACAAGTCATCTCAGGGGTGGTAGTGTGGTCGAGCAGGCTAATGCTAATGTGCACAGCACCATTGGTTGCCCAAGAACCTGATAACTGAAGTTTTAATATAAACAAATAATTACAAGTTATAATCCCGATGCCCGGTGGGACTTTTAACTCTGCATAATTCCAACACCCTCTCCACCGACACGGGAATAACCCCGTGTAGCCTAAAAGAAAGAGAAGAGCCATGTCTTGCTTCAGGTATCTTCATTGGAAAATTAAAGATGAAAAAAATGTTGCAAATAGAATGTGGCAATTCTATTTTTTTAATGAGTCCAACAGCGATATAGTTAATTTTTAATAAATTGATATAATAGTAATATTTTGATGTTGACAACATGTAGTGTAAAATTAATTTTGTGAAATGAAGGATTTTAGTATTTCTTTTTAGAGCTTCCAGACTTTCCAAGCCATTTTAATTTTGCCTTGCATATAATCAAAACATGTTTAATATAGATTGATTTCTTTCTATTAAACGCCCTTCTTTTATTGATTAAAAAACAATTAAGCATCTGCATAGTTATTTAGCCTAATAGCTTAAATCATTTTATTTTCCCCTTTCATTTTTTTTTTTTTGTCCTGATCAAAATCCTCACTGAATATAAAATGAAATATTTAATATAAAATATTTGTCCGCAGTACAGACCTTTCTTTATCAAATTATTAACACCCGTCTAAAACTGTGTATGTATCTGCTTTTCACTTAAATCATATGATAATTTGATAACAAAATTGAGAAAATATTTGGCTGTTTGGCCTATATAACCTTGCTATTTTGACACATTGGAGATGGAGTTCATACCAAATGGCTCAATATTTTAGTAGGTCACCTAAAAATTATGTTACCATTCAAGTGGAAACATAATGGGTGGTCATGAGCTTTAGTACCTCAATGAATAGATAAAGTTTACCAATCTCCAGATTGAAAAAATATATAGAATAGAATAGAAAAATCATCTTTATTCTGGGACCAGGTCCCTTTAGAATAACAGTATTGTTCATATATATTAACTACAAATCTGGTCAAAAGACTTATTACAATGAATAATGACAAAATACATGTAATACATTAAGTATTAATTAAGCTCTTAGGATAAATTAACGAGGACAGTTTGGTAATAGGGGTTCAGTACTACAATATTGGAGCTAAAATAATTGCATAATAATCACTGAATGAAATTATAAGGAAAGTAAAATCTATTTTATAGGTAAAGCATTGTAGTGATGGAATATAAAAATTTAAAAAAATAATAATAACTGTTAATATGTAGGGAAAGAAATTGTAAAAACTAAAACAAAAAAATATGTAAAAAAACAAATAATGATATACATATGTTCCCTAAGATATTTAAGTGATTATGCGTAAAGATTTGGAGAAGAGAAAATAAAATAAAGTATATACATACACATAGCGAGAAGTATGTTGAAGATAATTAGAAATAAAATACATTTCACTGAAATACATTCCATGAATAACAAATTAGAACTTAAGGAAAACAAATTTTATCTACTCACAATGCTTAGTGAGTGGTGATGAAAATTCACGTTCAACCCAGAACAAAACAATAAAAAATAAGAGAAAAAAATAATGTCTAAAGAAAATTAAATCCTTATAACATAGTATGTATTTAACCAGTGTCTGATTGGATTGTGAAGAGGAATTGGAATAAGAGGGTTTTAAAGGTGGATAAGGATGATGCATGGCAGATTTTTAGTGGGATGGAATTCCAGAATGCAGTGGAACGGACAACGAAGGAATGTTTAAATGATGCAGATCTGTGGAAAGGAGTATAAAGGTTAAAGGTCAGAAGGACGAGATCTTGTGGAGAGGGTGTGGATAGATGATTTGAATTGTAGGAGATTGTATGCGTAGGACGGACGATGACTATTGATTATTTGGTAAAGGAATGTGCCTAGGAAATATTGTCTTCGGAAGGAAGGGAAGAGCCATCCTAATTCAGCATAGTGGTGCGAAACACGGGAATACCTCAGGGCCCCTGTGACAAATCTAACGAAGGCATTCATAATTCTTTTCAGTCTCTCCCCGAGTTCTGCCGAGAGGCCACCGTACACCACGCAGCCGTAATCAAGGTGGGAGAAGATGAGGGAAGTTACCAGGAGTCTACGTGTGGAGATGGGTAGGAGATGGCGGAAGCGATGGAATAGTTTCAAGGTACCAATTGACTGTCGGGTAATGTGAGCAATATGGTGTTTCCAGGATAGGGTTTGGTCTATGAAAATGCCTAGGTTTTTTACTGAGGAGGTGAAGGTAATGGGATGGTCATTTAGGTACAGTATAGGTATGTTGGTATTGGCTCTGAGAAGGGGTTTGGAACCAATGACAATGGCTTGAGTTTTTGCAGCGTTTAACCTTAACCCATTTAAGTTTGCCCAGGCACTGATCCGATTCAAGTCTTCTTGAATTTTGGCAAACGCTTCATGCAACTCTGAGGGATGGAAGGAAAGGTAGATTTGGGAGTCATCGGCGTAAAGGTGATGGGAGCAGTGAAGGATTGAATTATGGATGTCATTGATATAAGAACTAAAAAGGAGGGGAGATATGCTAGAGCCCTGGGCCACTCCTGCGGACAAAGTAAGATAGGAAGACAAGGGTTGATTAGGAATAGCGACAGCTTGTGAGCGTTGGGAAAGGAATGATTGAAACCATAGGATAGAACTATGGGAAAAGGATAATGATTTTAATTTGGAAAAGAGAATGGAGTGGTTGATGGAATCAAAGGCTTTGGAAAAGTCAATAAGTATAAGGACGGTTAGTTTTTTGTCATCAATGGCGGACTGAACATCATCAATGATTTTGATTAGGGCGGATTGTGTGGAATAACCTGGTCGGAAACCAGATTGGTAAAGGTCAAGTTGATTGGACTGTTCAAGGAAGGTGGAGACTTGGGATTGCACAATTCTCTCCAGGGGTTTGGAAAGGTTAGAAAGGATTGAGATTGGCCGAAAATCTTCAGGGGAAGACGGATTAGAATTTTCATTTAAAGGACGGACTGTGGCTTTTTTCCACAAGGAAGGGAATACTGAATTTTGAAGGGAAAAATTGTAGATGAAAAGGAGTACCGGAAGGATTTCAGGGAGGCATAATTTAATTAATTTGACGGGAATGCCATCTGGACCAATAGAATTAGAGTGTGATTTCATCACGGCGGATATGAGGTCTGTGGGAGAAATATCTGAAAAATAAAAATCGGCGTCATTGAAAGATGTTCCAGGAGGAAAGAAGGAAGGGAGAAATGAAGGAGTTGAAGAGGAAGCAGATATAAAATAAGAATTTAAGTCATTTGATGAAACTGGGGGCACTGCAGAGGGAGGAGATCTGGTAGGATCACAAAGAGAGAGTTTACGAAGGAGTAGCCATTTGGATTTGGAATCCGGAGCTGAGGAAAGGGCTTCATGGAAATAGGTAGATTTGGCTCGTCGGATTGTGGATTGTGTCAGATTGCGGAGCGCCCTGAACGCTTGATAGTCATCAGGCAATCTAGTGCGTCTAAAGCGTCTCCGGGCTGCATCACGCCTCTTCTGAAGATCCTTAATTTTCTGACACATCCAGGGAGCAGGAAGGCGACAAAAGGTGGAAGTTTTGAGAGGGGCATGGTCATCAAGGATATTAATAAGATTGGAGGTGAGAATGTCAACCATGGAATCAATTGAGGTACAGGAATATATTATATTCCAATCTAGGGATTCTAGGGAAGGTAAGATTTTTTCCCGAGTAAGGCCATTGAGGTTCCGGAAAGTTACCGTTCTCGGTAGGATCGGAGGGGTTTGGATATTATAGGATATTTGGATTAGGTCATGCGACTATAAAAAAGAAACTGGTAATTGGGAAGAGGAAAGGAGGTTTTGAGCGGAATCAATAATGTACAGGTCCAACCAAGTGTCGGACCTTGCGGTGTGATGCGTAGCAGAAAAAGGAACGATAAAAAGATGAAGGGAGAAAAAAAGGTTTTCTAGGTATGATTTGTCGCTGGATATATGAATATATGTTGTTGGTTATGATAAGGTGAAGCCATTCTCGAAGTATTAGGTGTTTGTTAATAATTTGATTAAAAGGAGTCTGTACCGGTGATTATTTTATAAGTTATTAAGGTATATACTTTAATTTTCATAAATAAAAAAAAAACAACTATAATAACATGTTATTTTTTAGATGAATCTCTTCGTCCTGTCCTGGAACAAATTAATGAAATTGAAGCTAGTGTTATGAAACTAGAGAAGGCTGCATATAAACTTGATGCATATTCCAAGCGCCTGGAGAACAAAGTTAAGACTCTTGAAAGGAAATGAAAACAGCTTTCGCCCTCTGAAGGGGATTGCACTTTGTGAAATGACACTTTTAGAGTTATGTTGCTGGATTTAATTAATGACAATTTTAATGGCTTTAATGATTCTATAGAATCTTGTATCATAACTGTTTTTCTGTGATTGTTAAATTTAAAATTTGTTTTTCACGAACACTTGAATTTATAAGTTATCTTTGTATCCAAGGAATTTTTTTATTTTAAATTTTTAAATATGAAAATATTGAAAATATTTGGTCTGATAATTTATAAATATAACAATGTAGGTATCTGAAGTTTGTTACATTTTTTTAAATTGTATTAAACAGTAGTTATTAACTTCTTCTAGATTGAAGTTTACTAATGTCTATTGTATGATGAATTTTTTCTAACCTTTCAATTTCTAACTTAAATATGACAATTCATACCTTGGAAGGTATGAATTAATCATATGCTAAGCTATAAAGCAAATGAAAGAAAAAGAAACTTTAACAGTATTATTTTTGTTTGAAATACTTGTTTATTTTTATAAGATAATCTCCATTATCTTGGATTTTTTGTACCTTGTTCAAAGACACTTCTTTTGTTTGAATCAATAAACTTGAAAAATGATCATTTTTTTGTGTTTTAATTTTGTAATTTTAAATTTTAAAAATGTCAAAAACTGATAAGATAAATCATTTGGAAGAGTGGATGAATATGGTGATAAAACTTCAACTTTCAGAACTCATCATTCTTTTTAAGTTAATTGGCAAACAAGTGGTCAATCATAGTCCTGAAGACACATAGGTCCTCTCTTGGTATTAAGGGTTTAAACTTTTTTAATCAATTTTTCATGAAATTACTGTAGCAGTAAGAGATTCTTCTAATAAGACTTTAAAGTTTTTTAAAAAATAAATGTCCAATTACTTAAATTAGTTTTAGCCCACTTTAAATCCATAATGTTTAAAATTTAATTCTTCATCTAGGAGAAGAAAAAATATTAACGGCAATTGATCTGAAAGCATCAATTCCTTCAAATGATAGTTAATGACTTATCAGTCTACACTTCAGATTTTGCAACTATAAACCCCTAAATCTTAATGTATATGTACTTTTATTTATACTAACATTGTTTTAGATTTTTCTGTTTATTGGTCCTACTGTTTATACTTTTTTCAAATAAAGAAAATTAGTATGCATAATTTGAGGAGTGGAAATGCAAAAGGAGGATAAATCCAAATTTAATTTTTTTAGAAAACCCATTATTCAGTCATTCACCCCCATTTGAAATACAACAATAACTTTTTATGTTTAATTAAATTTAATTTATTATATTTTGATGACTTAATAATATATCATCTTAAAGAGGACATGAGTCACTATTAACCGTATCAGGAACTTTAAAAATAAATTTATCCCCTTTTACATCCATATGCCTCATCTTTGTTATCAAATGTAAATAAAAAATATTTCTTGGATTGAAAATTTATTGTACCTATTCTCTTATCCTCTCTCAATATATTTTTTTAATACGGAACCAATAGTATTAGTCTATTTCCAAGAGTGCTTCTGAACAGCTAATTTTAAATATTTAGAAATTAATAGGAATACATTTATGTTTTGAAACATTATATTGTTTATTGTTCATTTAGTTAATTATTTATTTATAATACTAAATTTTTCAATGCCATTAATTAACTATTAACATTTCCTAAAAACTCTTGGACATAAACAGGTATTTTGTTGACATGTCAGCGCTTCTCAGTCTACTTAGCTATTGTTGTAAATGACTATAGCTTTACGATATTGTATTGAATTGTTTTTGACTTACATACTAAGGAAGATGACTACAGTATATGATTCACCTTTATATTATTGGGATTCAGTTTTTATTTGTACTAATTTAATAATCAATTATTGTTTTTATGTTAGAATATTTTGTAAGGTAAAACTTCTTTTTCACATTAAATTTTTTAATGCCTAAGAATCTTTATTTAAATTTATATCTATTGGGAAATTATTTTTAATTCCCCTTTGCTCTCCGCAGTAAAAATATCTTTTAATGTAAGATAACAACTTATTTGTTTATAGAAATTTTAATTCTGTCAGGCAGCTGCCAGCTGCCCTTCTGATGTTGAAAAAATAAGATATAAATTACTTTTTACTTTCCTACCTATACTAGGTAAGGAAAGTATTGCATTCGGGTCAAATTTCCAATATGCGGTTTTCGACGGATTTATACGTTTCAGAGCCCCCTGAGTCCGGAAAACACATTTTGAGCCATTGGTCTGTCTGTCTGTGCCAAGATTTTCTCGGGAACTACTGAACCAATTTTGTTGCTTCTTTTTTTATTTTGTAGGGTTTTGACTACTGATGCCTATGACAGAAATTCGGTGCTCCATGCACCATAGCTTGCACGCAATAAATGAAAAACATGTTTTTTTATAGACTGTAGCATGAAAAAGGCTTTAATGATTTTGATGAAACTTTCCTATAATGTTCTAATAATTGTTCTTTCAATTTTCGTATATGGAGAAAATTCAGGAAAATAAGTTATAAAGAAAAGAAAAATGTTATGGGGCCTAACTCCCTAAGTATATATTATACGGTAAAATTTATAATAAAACTTTTGAAAGGTGATTAAATTACCAACAAAACAAAAAAAAAATCATCGGAATCGAACCAGTATTAGCGATGATACAGCTTATTCTATTTTTTACACATGTTTGAACTTATTACTTTCCTAACTATACTAGGTAAGGAAAGTGTTGCAATCAGGTAAAATTTCCGATATTCGGTTTTCGACAGATCTATACGATTCAGAGCCCCCTGAGTCCGGTAAAAACGCTGTTTAGCCGAAGTTACAGCTATTCAATTTCCAATATACGATTACGGATTCATATCCTGGTGTCAGAAAGGGATGACTGAAAGAAAAAAGATGACTAAGTGAAAGTAAGAAAATCTGTTACCCACATCACACAAGCTTGACTATTTCCTCTCCTTTACAATACTATGCTATGGCAAAAAGTTTTTGATCAGCAATATTAGAGAGTATTGAAATGTTTACACTGATCTACCTTAAGCTGGGTTAACATTGCTTTAGTTTATCAAATAAATCGTACTCAAATCTTTTCTTTGATCAATTTTCGGGAAAATAAATCTAATTCAATTTTTTTTTTTTTGTTTCTTCATGAACATATGTAAAAATATAAAAACTTTTCTGAAATAGGTAGGAAAGTCGTGTGAGTGGAGATACCAGATTTTTTTTTTAGTGTTTAGTCACCTTGAAAGAAAATAATTACTAAATGAAAATGAATTTCCTTACCCTTAAGTTAATGTCTCTGCTTTATATTTCAAATTGGCTATGCCCTCGTGCATCTCTGTAATTATTTTAATATGTCTTCATCCGATAAGGAAGTTGGTAATTTTTTTCTTCAGTTAGTTTTTATACATTTTATTTGTAATATAATAAAAAAAATAAAAATATTTTGTACACACAAATTGTCTTCATTAGACATTAGTTTGGTTTATCTACCAACTTATATAAAAAGTATAATTCCTCTACTTATTAGTAGTTACGCTATATTTAAAACATTTTGTGCAATATTTTAAATTAACTTTTTCGTTAATTAAGTTTTTTCGTGTGGTGAGGATTCAAATGAACTGTTCATTTGAATATACATGGTAACTTCAATAAATAGTGCAGCTGTTGGAATCTATTGAAGATTCACTTGATGCAGCTTCTTTCAAGGTGATATCCCACAAAGCTGTAACATAATGTAGGTAAAATCATACGCTTAATTGATTTAATACTTCTTAAAATATAATTAAATTATAAAACTAATTGAAAGTTTCTAAATAGTTCCTAAGGATTTCAATGTAACTAGGTGATTCTTTAAAACTTGGGTTGCAAAGAGAATTTGTAGAGAATTGACTCTTTTTTATGATTTAAATGACTGCCCTATTTAAAGGACCATTCACGACTAGATACTACTACTAACAAATGGATCCTATACCTGATCTTAGTACTAATGTAGTTTGTGTAAATGATTGTTCTTGTGTTCAAGATCGAACTTTATTAATAATAAATACTTACCGTCTCAATTTCTTCACTCACACACATGAACATGTCATAGGCAACGTCACAAGTGTACCCCTCAGCTATAACATAAAACCAAACGCAAAAAATAATTTGAAGATCATTAACAAAAGTGTAGACATAAAAAAAAAATCAATAAATGTGATTTATAATATGGTAATTGACACAATTTTGGTGATAAAATAATGTAAACATTTAAAATTTTAAGGTAATTAATTTTTTTTTATTAGAAGTTAGTACATAATGTTTACACATTTTTTATCAATAAAAAAAATTATAATAAAAAAGTTTAAACCATCTTAGAGTAGATATAATTTATTAGTCATGATAAAATGTCTATTAATAACTTGGGTTTTAGTTTTGTCTTATTGAGGGAAATAAAACAATCGCCAAAAATGTACAATTGCAATATTATATAATACTTATTTGGAAACAGCTTTTTTGGTTAAGTCCATTCAATTATGAAAGGTTTTTTATTTCAAAGTAAAATTTTTATAAGGATTAAATACCTTGTGCTAAAGTTTGGTTATATTTCCGCTGTTGGATCTCTTTGGCCAAACACTGTTGAACCCCTTGAATAGTTGCTAGATAGTAATTTCTATCCTTTACTCCTTCGGTAAATAATTGGACCAGAGCAGGAGCTGTAGGAAAACCATTTTCGTCCACCTATAAACATTAGAGGCAATCAATTATTCTTATTGAGCAGAAAATTAACTTTAAAAATTTAGTTTGCTATTTTTATTTAAGACCTGATAACCTGAGTACATCAAACATAACATATGATATAATGGATCAAAAATTATTAGAAGATAAGTATCATTTAAGGGTTTTAATAAAGATAAAGATTTATAAATTTGTTTATCCTTTTTTTCAATACTGCTTTGTAATACAATAGATTTGAGTAGAGAATTTAGGATAAGCATAATTATACAACACACAAGAAAACAGTTTAAGGATGAAGCATCAATTATAAAATAAAGAAAATTGTCCAATTTATTAATAACTAAAGGAACAAAACTAAAAATCCCTCACGTTACATTTTACTAGAATTCTCTTATCCTTATACAACTATCAATCAATCTAACTGAAATACCATTTAATTTGAGGTTTAATCTCATTACATTATAGTTTTCTGTATAAAGTAACTATTACATTATAGTTTATGCTATACTACACTCGACGTCTTAGATGGAGATTATGTTTGGTTTTTTACTGTAATAATACAATATTACATTGAATTTAAGACACACTTATTTTCTTTAAAATTGAATTCCTAATTTCAATAGCATCTTAACCATTTAGATGGGCAAAGCCAATATAATGGCTTGGGCCGGCCGTGACACCAGTGCGCAATGCCAATATAGTGGCTTCAGAAAGTACAGCTTCAGTATCCTGCGCACACGAAGCCTGATATTAATTCAGGCTCCACGCAACTAGAGGGTTAAATGTGAAGTTAAAAATATGATTAATACAATTTTTCCATTAGGATTTATAAAACAATACTTGTTCAATTGTCACTATAAAATTTCAATCTAAACATTTGTAAGATATGTCCCTACAGTTAGTTCAAAATGTCGAATGTAGCAATTTTATATGTTTATTCTATTTGCGCTAAACGTGAAATTTTGTAGTCAGCGACTATTATAAGAAGTAAGCTAAATAGGAAATTAGGAGAGGGCAATAAAATATGAAATTATACTAATAAATCATAAAGAAATAATCAATTTGTATATATTTCTCTAAAAAATCTCAATTTTTACATATGGCATTTTGCACTAACAGTAGCGATGTTTTTAATAATACCAACATTCATTTGTAAGTACTAATTATTACTTTCTGAAATAAATTTAGTATTTATTTTATTATTTGAGAATTTATTTATTAAAACTTTTTGAATGCTTTGAATACCTAAAAAATAGTGCTCTAAAAAAATATCTTACTTCCAATGAGTAGAAATCCTCATATTTCATTATTATTTTGTTCATAAAATTCTGTACTACTCCAATGAAAAGATAGATTTGTCTTAAATTGGACGAGGTTTTATACTTGATGTAATTTCATAAATAAATGTAAAGAAATTATTACAAATAAATGTGTTAATTATTAAAGTAAGAAAAATCACCCTTTCTTTTACAGCCTCATGTATTTATGTTTTTGAGCCTTTAGTATTCTGCCCTATATTCATCTAAAAATTACCCATCACCGAAAGCTCCAAAACATACATATATGAGACTGTAAAGAGAATAGTATTTTTTCTTATTTTAAATATTATTACCACAGTCTACCAATTAAACATGTGTTAATTATTTATGGTAGTATATGAATAACTTACTGCTTTCATTTTCCTGTAGACACACTGCAATAGGCACTGAAAAGAAAAGAAATGCAAAAAATGTTTTGAACTCAATAAAGCAATTAATTATTCAAGTTAGATATTTATAGATATAGTTTAAAGCTACAGTATAGTTAAGATACTATAACTGGAACGGGCATTAATGGGGAAACTATTCAGGCAATGGAGCTTTGGAGTCTTGGAAATTAAAGGTTCAAAATTCATTTCTTATGATTACTAATAAATAAATATTACTGACCCATGTGCGAACCAAATTTATTAAATAATAAAATAAATTTAAATATAAAAAATAATGCTAATATTTGAAAAAGGAGCTAAAATATTCAGATTAAAGTAGTCCGATTAGGGGAATTAATAATTCATATAATTGTTAAACTGAAAATAAAACATTTTAAATATGCATGCATATTTACAATCATCAAAAATTTGAAATATTTTAATTTTAAATGATTTAATAATTAACCTCCTAAGAATACCTCAAGGTATTATTTTTATTCCAATTTAATTAAATATTTTGTATAAATTACAAATTTTAAGAAAATGTGAAATACATACTCCTGCAATTCGTTTTTCTTCACCACTGAATGTCTCTCTCTTTTGTCTTCCCACTGACTGTCCAAGTACACTCAGTGCTTCTATAAGCAAAATTTTTTATCTTAGTTATCTATTTGAATTTATTTGATATTAAGATTTTTTCCTTTTATACACTCATTATATGAAGTTATAATACTTATAGGGGAAAAAAATATATATGCTTTAGTATCTGGCTATATAAAGGTAATCTAAAAGATGTTTTGAAAATATATTTCGATTATTATTGAGAGTAAAAAGAATTATGTAAAGAAAGTCATAATATTAGTAACACAATTTTTCTATAGGCAGATATTTATTTCAAAAATAATTTTTGGTTAAAAATAATTATTAAATAATACCAGAAGTTCTGAAATTATTCATATTTTCCATTCTCGTTTGATAGTCTTAATAGATATATTAATTAGCATTACTTGCATCTGAGTACAAGTGGTTTCAAACTTCTAGAAGTTTTTGCGACATACTTAGTTAGCAATAGGTGCTGAAAGATGATCAGCCAAAGATAGGAAGATAAACAGTAGAAATCTCCCTTTGTATTTCCATTGTGTTGGCCAACTACGCAAACAGCCTTGAATCACTTTCATAGTAACATTTCACAATGTTTTATTTACTTTTTGAGAACAAATTTCTTTATTCTTAAGAAATCCAATCAAGCTGGAAACAATTTTGTGATGTATAAAAATTTTTTGTAAGGGGAAGACTTTTTTTTTATTATGTAGTTATTACCTATTTATTTATTTAACTAGCATCTAGCATTGTTCAGAATTAAAATGAAAAATGTTCTTATTTATGTTTATAAGATTCAAACTTGAGAGACTAGTTTACACACTGTGATAGGAATATCACAATTTGAGGAAAGAATGGCAATGATCATCACATTTCGCCTAATTCATTTCAACAGCTTTGAGGACTACTTGAATGCTTTCTGGATGCATTGTTACCGAAGACCTGAATGAATGGAAATAAACATTTATTTCAAAAATATTACATGAAAGCTAAGTAAAAATGAAAAAAGTTATTACCTTGAAGGAGAGCATACTTAATCTCATCCTGGCATTGCGATAGCACCTTTTCTATTTTGTGCGGAGCTGTTGTTGGAGCCACACATATCTGCTGCTTCGCCTAAGAAATACCAATAAGATTATTACTATGATCATTTTATATAAATGTGTACAGTAATTGGAGCATATAGATCTAATATTTGTGCAACTGTAAACCAAAACGTTGGGAAAATCAAGATTTGATAACCAAATTTTGAAAATCGTGGTAAAAAATTTTACTCAAGATTTGCTTAAACCGATAACAATACCTTTTAAGAGATTGGAATTTTATCCATGCAATGCTGTTGATGAATAGAGAAGAAAAATTATTGTTGAAAAAGTTAATGCGAAAAGTTTAAATTCAAAAGAATTAATGTTTCTTTTTAAAGTAAATATATAATCAATTTTTAAAATTAAAGTTCGAGGAAATGTTGTTAAACTATTGAAACTAATATGAAATCTTATATCATCTCCCAAAAAAGAAAAAAGTGCAACAGCCCTAATCAGAATGCAACAATATCTGCCATGTCTGTGGGCAGAAGTACAACAAATCCACTGTTTAGTTATTTATATGTTTCTAATTACATAGTTATTATTAGCCTATAATATAATTATATTGTGATATAATACACTAGCAGATCCAGGATTTAATTTGTTGGGGGGCTTCAGCCCTAAAGCTTTATATACAACGATAATTACTTTGGAAGAAAAATAAAGAAACTAACTACCTTTATGAAATGAAGTTTAAGTGATTCTTGAAGTCCTATTAAATAGAATTAAACAAAAATAATACTTTTAGAGATAATTTTTAAATATTTTTTTTATAAGACATGGTTATATTTTACAATTTGGGGAGGAGGCTTCAACCCCAAAGCACCTTCCCCTTCCATAGATTTGCCTGTGGTGTAATATCAGTGCGCAACAGTAAAATAAGAAATTATTTGAATCATTTGTTTTGTATTAAACGTTTCCAATCTACACTGTCCTCATGCAATTGTATCGATTTAAGAAGAATTTTATTTAGTCCAGAAGAAGTTTCTGAATTTAGGTCATGTGTACAGTCAAGTTTGAATGAACTAGGAAAGACTTATGTAATGCATTGAGGAGATCCATGGCGCAATTGTGAGGATAACATAGAAAACCAGTTTTACTTGTTTCTAAGCTCTTGCTTGGTCCCTTTTATTTTCTTTAAGAATTTCGAAAATTCAGGAAATTACTCAAGCTATAAGACGAACAAAAAAGAAATATTAAAACCGACTTAAGCAATAAGTTTTCTGGAGCGTCTAACCAGTCATTTCTGGTCATGGTCACTGAAACGTTCTCCACCAACCGAGAGTTAAGAGTTCCCAACACAAAAAAAAAAGAATGAGTTTTAAATAACTAAGATTGGTAATAAAAATTGATATAGCTACGCCATTGGTTTATTGCGAGTGTGGAGTCTTCCAGAATAATTGAACGTTTTCGTGTTAAAAAAGCCAAATAAAGTTTTAAAAAAATGCTGCAAATGGTATATTAAAATCCTTTCAGAGGATTTTGAAGCATTGAAAATTATTATTTGTATTCCCTTTGCTGAAGGAACGTCCTGTTTCTTATTGCAATATCCATTTACACTCGAGCTATATTTTCTGTATTGTTATACATTAAAGATTACTTAATTAATTTCATAACTCGTTACTTTTGTATGTACACTAATATCCTGGGATTAATTATAAACTTTCTCAACTGGCAGTTGTGCATATAGAGATTATACGAATGTTACCTCACACAATTAACATGATCTAAACGGATACGCAATATTTACAATGTTCTTATCGTTGTTATGGCCTGTGATTTCGTAATAGAAATATCTGAGTATTTTTATATAAAAAGTGCAAGAAAACAACGTAATATAAGAGTGCATGATTTTTTTTTTTAATAAATGAAAATATAGGCTAAAGGCCTAAAGGCCATACGTTATTATTTTGTAAATAATAACATACATTTACATTGTTGTATCACTCTCTCCCTCTTCCCCTATCTTTCACTATTACGATAAAAGATAATACAACTTATTAATCCATTAATAAGGGGCTGTTTTTCGGTTCATCATTTTTTGAATTTATGTAAGATGTGCTACTTCTTGTCGGCATTTACTCAACTTCTTTGTCCTTTTGTTTGTCTGAATTAACGAAACTCTGAGAGAGACCTCCCAATAATATCCTAATTCGTAATCAATTAAATAAATTAGCTGGTCCACAAGAATATGGATACAATGATTGAGATTGTCTGGCGGCCATTTTGTGTCATTGAGATCACTTTATTTGAATAGTTTTTCGTTGCTATCTCATACCATTCTCCAAATAGATTCGGTTCTAATAGATTTCAAAAAGTAAATCAAAGTCGTTGAAACAAATCTTTAGTATTATTATTGCCTTTACAAGTACCGCTATTATTTGGAACAAAAGCAGAAAACTCCAAACTCACTGACCCCCACCACACCATATTAGTCAACGGACAGCTGTCTGGTGACCCAGTAAACGTTTCAAATATCGTGGCTGATTACTTTCCGAAATGTATAACCTCAGATATATTTGAATAGAATTTTAAAATAGTACAGATGATTTAACATTATATTACAATCCACCAGTGCCGGCCTTAAGGGAATCAAAGTGGAGCGCCAAGCTAGTGGGGCCACTTGTTAGAAATAAAAAAAAATTCAAAACATAGTAAAATAATTAATTTTAGCCTATCAATAAAGCAACTGTATTAGAGAAATGTTGAATGAAATAAAATTCAAATATTACATTACATAAAAAAGCTTAAGAAATGAATTAATTTTGTTTAGGGAGTGATGACGTCATTGTCCGAGGGTGCCGAATGTCTAAGGCCGGCATTGCAATCCACAGTGAACAACGTGGGACCCAATAATATATTGAGGAGCATATAAAGTTTCTGTCTCAGCCCTGATAATATAGGTTATGATTTGAATAAAAACCTTCCAAACAGTTACATGATTACTGCAACCACATTTACCAAGTGTCTGATCTGACGCGATTCAAAAGTCATTATGATTCTAATACCTTAAAAGGTAAACGTGTCACATTGAGGCACCATCCAATTTTTCTCACACGTTGTGTCTGCAAAATACTCGTTAATGGAACGAACGGGTGCGAATATTCTCAAGAACACAGACAGACCAATTGAGTACCCGCAGATTATTATTGTAAAATAATGTTCAAACTTATTTATTTCCTCAACAATTTATGTATTTTGCAACGATGTGGATGTTCAACTAATAATCCGCGTTTGATAAAACTGAACGATTTGTTTGGATCAAAGCCTCAATGATTTCAAAGCAATCGCTCTTTATGGTTTATAATCAATGAATAATAAGGAATATGACACTGTATATACAGATACTTAAACATTTATTGTTTTGAAATTGAAATATTTTAATGGTATATGACTAGGTATAATTTTTACAGATATACCTGAAAATGGCCCATGAAGCGGAATTATTGAATAGAATAAAATAAGAAATGTAATAAAAACATTTTTTTTTGGCGACCTTTAACTAAAAATTAGTTAAATAATGAATAATTATTGAAACGGATATCCAAAAACGCTCCAAGTATGCTACTTGAAATTTTCAGATCTATAGGATTCCATAGAGCATAATACAGCATAAGTAGATATTTCGTAAAATTCAAAAATATTTTTTCTTTGCATTCATTACATTTATATTTATTGTGTGCTATAAATTCATTCTCACAAATCGATTAATACAATACTAAATGATGCTATGTATGTATTGTAAGGATCACCTGTGGAATATATTTAATCATTTCAGATGAATAAATATATTCTAAATGACAATTGCTAACACATGGGCGGTACCTGAGGGAGAGTAACGACCCACTATTGAGTGCAACCTTGTGTAAGTGGCAATACAAAACTACACAAAACCGACAAAAATACAGATAAAAAACCGACACAAATACAAATATAAGTATTAAATACATTAAATAGAAATAAATGCGGTTCCTGGAACCCCCTACTCACCTTAGAAACACGAAGTTCAGGTACATAGCAATGAGTAATGCAAAAATAAAATAAATCAAATGAATTATCAAGTTGATAAGTTGAGAAACATATTGGAGAAAGTCATTTGTTGATTTAAATAACTGGTAAAGTTATTTAATATTTTTCCGCTATTGCTACATTAAAGTAAACATTCGAATGAACTTATAATATATTTTATTAATAGCTAACTTGTTTGCATTCTACTGAACTAATTGGTTTAATTAGGTCCTTTTCTGTGTCAAATTCTCGTCATCCCTTGAATGTTGCGAGCCTCATATGACCCATTTTGAAAAGTAAATATTAGTTGAGATTGAAGAACGATTGTCGATTGTGATGAGAAAGGATGAATATGGAATTCTATTATTAAATTCGAAATACATGATTTTATACTTAAAATACTTAAAAAAATGATTGATCGTAAGTTGACTAGAATTGATCGGAGTGTCTGGAGCAACTCGAATAGCGGTTTTGGTCATTTGATTGTCGTGTCACCTCGCCAATTTTAACTTTCATTTCTCTCAAACCAATGAGACAAGCTCCGAGGTTTGCATTCCTCGGGTTCCAGTTATTAGCTGAACATGTTCCATTCCAAATCGAGAAAGGATGTCCCTCTTATGACATTCTTGGTGTTGAGGGACGAAACTTCATTGCCCGTTTCCTAGGAGATGTTATTCGAAATCAGTTCTTTTACGCCTTTTTTAAAAAAAATTGTATGCCTTTTTTCTTGGTGTGGAGACATTTTTACAACAGAGTTGTTTTTCAGGGGAATTAAATTTCTTTATTTTTTACTGCATTTTATTTATTTTGGCTGCATTTTGACGTAATAAGCATATTTGATATCCTTGTTTTAGTATTTTCTTCAACTTGCTTGGTTTTAAGAACCTTGATTTGTTTTTCACAGTCGGTGAAGCAGAAGATCTGTACGCTATTGTCTTTTTTAACCTGCGTTCAGGTCGACCTGACAACTGAACTGAGATGAGAAATGTGATATTGCGGTAAGAATAGGATGATAAGCTGAAGAATGAAATGTGGTATATTTGTCATGCATGTAAAATTTCAGTGTTGATATGTTCAAGTCGTCGTATATGATATGATTTAAAATAAATTGGAGCGGTTTAACAACTTTTTTAGGAATTTTGTTGTTTGTATCTTGTATATATAGACGTATTTTAATGAACAAAAATTTCCTTCCCCTATTTCAGTTAGTTAAGGGTCTGTAATGTAGAGGATACGAGTTCACCTTATCAAAACTGCATTGAATAATAGTATCGTACCCCAATAGTGTAATTAATGTCGAGCACATACCAACTAAAAATATTTATATGACACCGCTGCCCAAATCATGTATAATTTTTTTCAATTAGATTGGAGATATTTCTGAGTAAGATACTAATTATTAAGTACCTACTACTAGATAATAATGCCAATGGTATAGGTAGGCAAAAAAAAAATTGAATAAAAATATCTTCCGAGATGTCTGAAAATAAGATGGCCTCGAGATCTCCTATTACAAATAGATTTTTAGAGTGTTTCCAATGGATAGTTTCTCAACAAATCGTTTCATGTTATTATATTCTTGTTCACATTTACTGAATGTATTTTTATTTCTAATACAGTTGTAAATATCATTAAAAAAATTAAAAAATAAACATTTATAATAATACAAACTTAAATTAATTACAAGTGGAGAGTAAACGATTGTGCGAAATTAGGATACTCTAAATTCCACTATCTTCCAGTCTTTCTCAACTGATTTGTGTAAATTTAACTTTCGGGCACTTGTATCAACTTTAATACTTCAAAACTCAGATTGGTTAGTAATTTTTTATAATTTTAAGTATTTAAAATGATCTTTCGTTATTAAATACCATAAAATTAAC